ACACACACACACACACACACACACACACACACACACACACACACACACATGCTATGAACATGATTGTATGTTGAACTTTTGCCAACACTCACTCACAGGAATTCCCGTACACGCCCATACATGCACAAAAGAAGGGGGAGAGGTAGTGGAGTGTCACACCGCCCAGAAGAAGAAACGCAGCGGAAGACTCAGAGAAGCGAAGTGACAGAATACACAATTCAGTGAATTCTCTCCACAGAAATCCCAACAATCATTCACAGAGAACAACCGAGTGATCACAACCAGAAATCAATGGAGAGATGACAACTCAAGTAGAAGCTCAGCGCCAACAGTCCCTGATGAAGATGAGGTCCAGATGATGATAATCTCTGAGAAGATGCAGCTATGGCTGCAGCGCCACTGGGACCCTACTCCTGAGGAGGGTCAGCAATGCAGCACGTGCTCCAACGCATCAGACATCTAATAGCCTAGACCTCTGATGTCCCCATCCTATCTATAATCTACATATAAGCCTAGACCGACCTAGACCGGACTGACCGACCAGTTCTGGCCTCTAGGGCCTAACCCTACCCGGCTATAGGCTATAGAACCGTCTATCAGCATAGGCCTGTATGACCTGTCTGTCCTAGGGGTAGCTCGGGTCTACTATTCGCAGTTAGGGTAGCTGTAGGGAAAATCAAGTTAGTACTGGGCCCATATTTCTATATTTACAGATATGTCCCTCAAAAATTTTCCATACAGGTAGGTATCTCGGTCAGTCCTCTGCCAAACAAAGAATGATAGAGAGCAGTGAACACACAGAGTGACACAATCACACAGTGTTCCTCGGCGAATCCTCGCCCTCTGACGACTCCCGAAAACCAAAATCTCTCTCTCTCTCTCTCTCTCTCTCTCTCTCTCTCTCTCTCTCTCTTTTTTTTTTCTCTCTCTCTCTCTCTCTCTCTCTCTCTCTTTTTTTTCTCTCTCTCTCTCTCTCTCTCTCTCTATATATATATATATATATATATATATATATATATATATATATATATATATATCGTCACATATCTCCGGGATTCTCCCCCGGATGCTGATGTGGCAGTGATGTCCCTCGTGCCAATCTTTGTTCCCCCAGTCTGCGCAACAGAGACCGAGCTTGCGCCTGTTGATCGATAGGCGGCAAATGTGCCGATGGCGTGCAATGCCCTTGCGGGCCAGGTCCTGTCCTCATCCTCACGCGACGACCTCCCCCGTCATCTTCGTCCGCCGTCTGGAACCTCGGAACGTAATCGGAATCATCAGGATCGTCGACGCCTGTGGTCTCACCGCCCTCAGCGGTCGTGGAGCTGTCGTCGTGGATGATGATCGTGCCGCCTCGTCTCTTCTCACCTCGCCCTGATTCGTCCACTCTGTCACCTCCGTCCACCCCCCCCTGTCCATCTGCAGCAGCTGGCATCTGTCTGGTCTCGTCCCTGTTGCGGAAAAAAAGTTGCGGGTGGCGCTGGTGATACGAAATCGACGCACTTGTTCCCTTCTTCTTCGCTCGTGATAGCCTCACAGTTGCCGTCCTGGTGTCGTGGACATCGGTCGTCTTGGCCCGTATAGGCCTCCCATGCTGCTCCTCGTAAGCTCTCATGGAATCATGACAAGTACCATCAACTTTGCCGATCGATCGCGCCCCCGCGGGCACATCTGTCGGTCCGCATGCTGATGCCTGTCCGATATCGCCCGCCCTCCGGTCCATGCCCGCACCATCGTAGAAAGACCTCGTAGGCCATGCGCTCTGCGCGGCCTACCCGTGGGCGACGGGGTCAGCGACAAGGGGGCGTGAGGGTGGTGGACGCGTGATGTCACGCATCCCCATCAGATGCGATCGAGGCTCATCTCCAACGTCATGTGCACTAGGCCTAACAATGCTGGGGTGTGTGGTCGATGACCCTCTGCGCTCGATGCCCCCCCCGAAGGACCGTCCAACATCATCGCTCCCTGGCTGCACCGTATCCTGGCCCACACCCTCGCCTCCGTCCGAGCGGATAACTCCGGGAGGCCTCGCCTCTAAAGTCTTCGTCGGGCCTCGATATGGCTCTCGCTGCGGGCCCTCGTCCGGTGGATGGACTGATGACACGCCGTCCGATAACTGCTGTGAACCATGACCCCCGTGCGCCACAAAATCTGCAGCTGCTGCCTCTAGTGAACCTCCCAGGCTACGTTGCGCTGTGACGGTCGGTCTGCCACGACGGTTCCGTGCCACCTCCTCCGCCAACCCCTGCTCCGCCGCCCACGGTGCACCCACATAAAAAATGGCGGGAGTGCCGAACTCTGGAGGATGAAGTATCGTGTCGCCGCCGAACTCGTCAAACCCTCTGTCACGACGCGTGTCATCTCGTCGAGCAGGCTCTGGTGGTGCCACAACTGCCAAAGTGGGAGATATCGAAAGCGATACATCGGGCAGAAATGCCAAGGCGGAATCCATGGTCTGTAATCAAAAATTTTGCCAACGTCGGCCACGGTCTTCTTTTCCATAGAGCGAGCCTCCGGATGTCTACAAAGAACTCCTTTTCTTCTCTAGACGCTTGGCCTTCTCAAAGCCCAACGGCTAATTCCGCCACCGCTCCTATTTCTACCTCGGGACTGTCGTCTCGGATCTCTAGTTCCCAATTTACTGATCCCGACGAAAAGCTAGCTCTCATGCCTATCTATCTCTCGAGAGCAACTCCTCCTTTTGTTCGTCAAAGACCCTGACCGTTGCTCTCTCAACCGCCTTTATCTTGGCCAAGGAGTCATGCCTAGCCCTTCTCTGCTTTTCCCAACAAAGGGTTAGGATCCAATAAAGTTCCGTCCTTACCCTATCCAGCCTCGCCAGCTCCTGATCGTCTGACTCACTCATGCCTAATGCTCCTTCGCTTGCATGCAATGGCAATGCAAATGAGCTCCGAAGGGTCGAGGCTTTCAAGCCCAGTCTCACAAATCTCACCAAGGTACCTCCACGAGACCGTCGAGTCCCTCACGTGTTGACCCCAACCTTCAAATGTGTACCCGAGGTTGTTTAGCCACGACCAGTCGTTATGACTCGGGTTTTGAAGACACCACGTTAAGAGGGCATGCAAGTCCGATTTCGTAAAGCGAAACTGATTTAGGACCGCGACTCTCCTCTCCACCGCCTCTTTAACCATCTCAGAGGGGTAGATCCTTTCGAAGATGAATCTGGGCTCTGCCACCGAGCAGTTGGTAGTAAAATACAACACCTCCTTAAGCCCAACGTACGTCACCCGGTATGCTATTCGGCAATCCTTTGACAATTCTACATTGTTAACTAGCTCCTCTAACCTGGTCCTCACGAGCTGCTCGTACCAAAGAGGATTTTCCCTCAACTTCGAGCTCAAAACTGTTTCTACGAGCCCTTCTTTTGAAAGGAAGATTTTGCTCGTTCGACCAGCAATTCTTCTTCGTCACTTACGGGCAGACAGACGAACGCCTTGCTACGGTAGGTCTCAACTTCTTCCCTTTGAACCCACTAGGAGCGAGGGATAACGACTAAGCCCGATTTCGGGAGGGTGACCCGACAAACTTCGCCTTCCTCTTCTGTATGGGGTGTAGAGGCCCAATGCGTTCTCACAACCCTTTTTATCATACTCCCCTACGAGGGCTCGTACCCTGTTCGGTTTGCCACTTGCTCCTCTCCAAATATGCGAACGTAAAGGACGTCGGCGATGTGCGCCCTACTTCTTCGAACTCCTTAGCAGCTCCAACATCCCAACCAATTCTCTCTTCGTTGACACCCCTGCGCCGACATACAGGGTGTAGAGCCAGAATAATCTTAACGCTCGGATTCCTGATTCACGGGCGGACCAAAGTACCTCTATGACCCTTTCCTCCAAATCTCGCAAGAGTGTTCGCACCCAAAGGTCGGGCAAGATAGCGTGGAGGACCTTCGAGGCGCGTATCGACTCTATAGTCCCTCCATTACTAAGAACGAACGTCACTATTTACCACGCTAGCTTGAATACCCACTCGTGATACCTCTTAGGAATGAGCAAAAATGCCTTATCGAGAGACCCAAGCCTCCTATATATCCCCCAAAGTTTGCGCCAAGAAGAGATTTTGTGGTTGACACAGTGGGTGTAGAGTAACCATAGTGCTCCAAAGGGTAAACATAATCTCCTCCCTCTTTCTAAGAGCTTCAATATCCCTTCCTCGTTTTCCACCAAGAGCACAAAACACGGCGCCCTTATGGTTACTGGACAACCAGCTCACGAAAATTCCCCTTGCGGGCGAACCTCTCCCTCTCCTCGGCCACAAACCCAACCCCTCGTAAGGTCCTATCTATTCACCTTTTCCTTACTCCCCTAGCTTCTTTGAGCAACAAGTTCAGCCCACCCCCTTGACCTAAGACCAGAGATACCGCTATCTTAGCTCACGAGGCTGGGTCGATGAAAATTATTGAAGTAGCCCGAAGATACAATTTTGGCTCCTTCGCGCCCCCGTCGACTTTATCCACACAAAATTACCCCAACGGTGACCTCTCCACCTTCTAACCTCTTCTAGTTAGAAACTTCCCCGTTCCCCGGGACCAAAAGACAAGTCCTTTCTCCCGCTAAGCCCGACCTAACGAAGCTCCCGAAGTCCCTGTTGAAATAGACCATTCATCCTAGAAAACGTTTTGATGCACTCCGAAAACTCTTCGATATCGGTAATCCCTTCCTCCTTCACGATCGCTCTCTGAGTCCAAGGCAATCCTTTCCCGTATCCTGTCGGCCCTAGCTCCGTACGGTACTCAGTTGTCCACACAATATGTGAAGTACCAATGGAGGGATCTAAAAAGCAACCCCCTTCCGACCTCCCGTTCTATCGACCTCACAACCTTCTCGTAGCGACCCCTTCCCCGCACACTCTCCTGAAGACGTAGGATGGGAAGATAGCTTGGACACAACCTGTAGCTCGGGGGTATTCCCCGTCTTGAGCATAAGTCACCCGAAAACGGATTGGGAGTCGGTGCTGAAAAGGCGCTTGCTCAAAAATCTGTCTCAAGACAGGCTTTGCACGAACCGCCCAATGGCCCGTCCGTAGCAACACCAAACCCAATGGACGGCATAGTCTACCCAAGCCTCCTGGCTCAAGTAAATCGTTCCTTCAGTGTGAACCTCAGCTCGCCGAGCTCTCCTCCCATTCCCATGCCTAGTTCTGGTCCACCGATCCTTGTCCCAAATTCCTACAGCGAACCGAGCCCAAAGAAAAAACCCTCTTTCGAGTTCAATACCCTTCTCGTGCCCGACCAAGTATCTTTCGGTGCGATGGTCCAAGGGGACACTAAAACCCTCCCGCTCCTTATGGAGGTCGACCCTTTCGATTTTAACCCTACCGCTTTTTGTTTCTTCTACAATTCTAACCATGCCCTATTTTTTTTTGCCGCCGGCCTGCCTTAGAACGACCTCTTCGACGATTGTCACTAATACCTTTCAATCGTCCCACCCGTTAAGATAGGCGTTGGGTAGTACCAGCGCCGACTGTGCGCCTCGTGGGTAAGTTCGGTAGCCTAGCGCGTAGAAGTACTTGATCTCGTAACCCCCAATGGTTCTCTTTCCAATCGTGAATGACCAACCGCTTCTTCCCAGCTACGTAGGAAGTCTTCTCCTTAATCTGACCCCTCCTCTACATAGAGAGTTATGTCAAAGTCCCCTGTCCATAGAAAAAAGGTGTAACACCACACGTCTACCCCCCCGTGACTACCCACACTGACCCCAGCTGGATCAACCTCTAAAACCCTCAAGCTCATAGAATTTGCCCCTCACTTTAAGTCTGTATAGTCCGGGATTCGCGAGAAACCACTCCTACCCTGAAAAAAGCAGGGGCCTATGAGCCCGACAGGATTAAATGGACCAGTGGGGGAACGTCGCCTCACCAGGTTAACCCCCTGTCCTCCTCCATCGAGAGGTCCTCCCGCTTTCAAGTATAGCGGCTAGCCGCGAGCATAAGTTATCCCCGAGGAGAGGTGGCAACCCTCACCCCGGAGTCAGACCGTGGTCACACACTCGTGCCCTATGTTCCCCACTAACCCTGTAATTAATATTCGTTATCGAAGTCCCAATAATCCCCTAATTCCGAATCCGAGAAATCGGCAAGGCACCGGTCCACCCAGGATCCGACCTCTGAACCCTCGCTCGTCGCACTCTCAACTTCCCAAGTGTCGTCCCTTCGCGAACCCCCTTTTTGGATTGACACCCTCCACTCTCTTCTCTCGACTTGAGGTGGGGGAACTTCTACTCTAGAGCCAGCCCTTGGGGCGGCACCCCCCTCTTCCCGACCGGAGATGACCCTTCCTACCGAACCCCTTTCTTTTATCTCTGTCACCACGGGTCTTGCTGTTAGTCCCTGAGGGTCGAGGACGATAGGTAAGGCCCTTTCCCTCGGAATTAAACCCCTTGGATCCCACACGGAAGGTATCCCAGGTTCCCTCTGAAAGACCCTTCCCCCAAGGCTGCTTGCTTCCTCCCCACGTGCCGACCCACTGACGTGATTTTCCTGCGAAACCACCCCTCTTCTTTTATTAATTTCTACCCTCATTCGATCCACACACTCAGCAAGCAAAAAAAAATTCCCCCCTCTGATTTCCACTTGTTTCGAAAACAAAACACACCAAAAACAAAACCCCAAGGAGATCTGACCTGAATTTTTGGAGTCGCAAGCGGGGCCGGTGCGGACCTGCAAAACAACAAGCCCCTTAACCCCACCCAAGATCACCCCAGAAAGAAGAGGCACCATTTGTTGAAGCCGAAACTCGATGTCCGAGGACGAAAAAGCCTTCACATGGTTAGAAACTGGGGATAACACTTGCTACCGTTCGTCACACTTGTCACGTTCGCCACTGGATACTTGTCGATACTGGTCATACTTGTCACTACATGTTACTCCCGTCGATGTTGGACACCCTCGCCACTGCCTGTCACACTCCTCTTCGTCCCTTCGTCCCGTGGGTCAGCCGAGGCTGCTAGAGGAAGCCCATCCCCAGCAACGGCGCCAGATTGTTGTGCGGGGCGAGTTCAACTACCGCGCGTGGTGACACCTCCCCTTGGGCCTCCGTTGGGACCACCGGCCTCCTCATTCACATGCTATCCGATACGTCAGAATTTGTTTTTTGGGTGGGTTCCCCTCTAACCGCCGATGGTAACTAGCGTGCGTCCTCCTTCTTGCCTCCACACCTCCAGCCTGCCTCCCGTCTCCAATCAACGGCCGGTCTCCCACCCCTCCAAAAGGGTTCTAGGAGCGGTAAGAGCTTCACACGCGGGACGTAATTCGGCCAGGCCCTTGACCCTAAGTACAGAGACGACTTACCCGAGGCTGGACCGTGATTGGGTACAAGCGAGCAATTTTTCCGTGGTCCAGACGGAGTCCTGACACAGAGTGCAACCCTTAAGCAAAAGGAAACCAACGACAGAATAGCTCAAGGAAGTGACTCTGTTACGAACCGGGGCGAACTCC